AGCCTGCCTGCTGTGTGCCAGACAACAGGCTGGGCCCTGCTTTAGCTCCAACTCCTGGCACAGCATCTGGCATGAGTGAAAGAAAGGAGGGGGGCAGGGAAGAGAGGGAGAAAGGGCCGTAGTGGAACCAGTTGGGCCAAATTCATGAAGCACAAACATCTTTCTGTTTTTAAATCTTCCTTACAGCATTGTAAGAAAAATGGGAATAAATTTTCCTATTCAACCCTTCAAAAAATAATTTTGTTATAATTTCCTAATTATAAAAATAATGTTGCTTATTGTAGAAAATTTGGAAAATAGAGAAAAGACAGAGAAGACTATAAAAATCATTGATGACCTACAACCCTACACCCAGACATTTTTCCATTTGATTTCTGTACTTATTTACAAAATTGGCATCATAATGATTAGTCCATTGGCTTGACGTGTGGACTTTGAGTCAGATGGCCTTGGGTTCATGACTTGACTTTGATTAAGTCACTAAAGCTCCTGAAACCCCAGATTCCTTATCTGTGAACTGGGACAATAACAATACCTCCTCATGGGGTTGTCATGGGGATAAAATGGGCATGATAGATATAAAATGCTCAGCCCAGTCCCTGGCACAGAACAGGTGCTCGGCAAGCAGTGGCAGTATTTATCATACTGTTGTGGTGGCATACTCTTTGGTATCACACGGTTTTTCAGCCGAAAATTATGTTGCTTTTTACCCCTGCTATAATTAAATATTCCATTTTCAGATCCATTCTTGACACATGTTTTCCTTGCTCATATTTCAGACCATGAAAAATATATTTCCCCGGCTCAACTGTCTCAAGAGGAGGCTCTAAGCATGAGGGCTCTGGGAAAACCTTCCCAGAGCCGAGGCTTAAAACCCAGAGATTTCCCGACCAAAGCCAAATTCCTGACTCTGTTCACAAGAGGGGAGAGGAAATTTAAGTGACTGTCTGTGGCTAGAGTTGAGGGAATCTCAGCAAGGAGTTTCATGAGTGGGCCTGGGGAGAGGCGAAGGTGTGGTCTGCAGGGGTCTTGAAATATCCGGGACAGAAGGTGGCTCCTGAAACCCCATTTCATGCCTCTCAACAGGGAGCAGCACGGTGTGGGGGTGAACAGCCTGGTTCTAGCCCCCCTCTCCCCCACAATCTTGAACAGCTCCCTTCACCTCTCTGAGCTCCAGTTGCCTCATCTGCAAAATGGGCACAGTGACCAGAGTGGATGTGAGGCTGAACTTGGATGCGGCATGGTAAGGGCCTGGCACATAGTACACAGTCCTGAAATTATAACTGTCATGTGCTGTAGGCTCTGCAAAGAGAGAGACAAGGCCTCCCACATCCACCATCACATCCCCAGTGCCTTGGGGTGTCTGGCACGCGGCCTACCTTCAATAAGTGTTTGCTGGATGAACAAGCTCTGCTCTTTAAGGACACAAACTGAAGAACACACGGACAGAAGGAGACTTAGCTGGCAGGGGCTGGCACCTGGACAGCTGCCCACGGGAGGGGTGGGCCAGCCCAAGATGGAGAAGGCAGGCCTCCCTCACTCTCCAGCCTCCCCCGTGAAGGTCGCAACAACACCAGCATGACGCTGCCCAGCGCGTCTCTGAAGCAATAAATCCACATGGAAGAGTGGAAAAGGCATCTCGGCTTCTACGGTTGGGTTCGGTGCTGGCTCTTTCCCCTTACTAGACGTGGAAACCTGGTTAATTGACTTCACTCTGAGCCTCAGTTTTCGCAGTTATGAAGTAGCAGCAATGCCATCTAAGTCATAGTATTAAATAAGAATATAAAATTCCTGGAAATAACTCTATTCTGAATGCCTGGCATTCTGGGGTGACTGAGAGTGCTCTGTTGGGGGGCTCTTGCAGTGTTTTGGGATGGCCTCTTAGCAGGATGGTTTGGGGTCCACGGGGAGGGAAAGGCAGCCTTGAGCAAGACTTCAGACACACCTGGCAGGACGTGGCAGCTCAGGGGAGATGTTGAGTGTAGGCCCCCCAAAATGGAATTCCCGAGGAACAGAAAGACAGCCGTTTAAGACTGTGGTGACATTTCCTGGGTTGAATCAATGAGGAAGGTGCTAGGAACTCAGTGGGTACCCAGGCTCCGTGGGCCATGTGTGAAGAAATGGTGAAAATAGATTCCTCACATGTCAGTTTCCCATGGAGGCACTGTGTCATCGTTCCCACGGGCTTGGCATGGGTATCCTGGTTAAACAACAACATCTAGAAGGCCTTGGGTACCATCCAAAGGGCAGGGCTGTCCGGGTCTGAGAAGCGTACCTGACTAACGATAACGACAGCAGCGGCTCTCCCTGTGAATACCTGGCTTGTTGCAGGCCCTGCTGGGCGCCTCAGGCACCTCGAGTTCTCTCAGCCAGCCTTACAGGTAGGGTAAGCCCATGTTACTGCAAGGAGCTGGAGGCCCAGGGAGTTGAAGGGACTCCCGAACTCACGCGGCCAGCAGGTGAGATCTGAACCCAGGGCTCCTGGCGTTTCCACCACACTATGGTGCCTCTGGGGTTTACTAAGTTAATGGCGCCCTTTCCACAATCCCAGGAAAATTTTTACTAAATAGTTCTCAGTATCAAAATAAATTAGCCTGTAGGATAAAAAGAGTCAACTGACTCCAGAGAAAATGAGCAGTGTCTCCAGCCATGGGTCCTAGTACCCAAGGAAAGCATGGGCTCAGTGGAGAGAAAGAGCAGAACCGAGAGTCGGGTGAAGGCTGAGGGGGAATAGGGGAGAGGGAGGGAGGAAGGAAGGAAAGGAAGAAGGAAGAAGGAGAGAAAGAGAGGGAGGGTGAGGACGGGATATAGAGGGAGGGGTAGAGGGAGGCAGGAGAGAGAGAGAGTGCGCGCATGCATGTGAGCCAGAAAGCTGTCCTTCACTGGCGGTTAAAAAGACCAGACCGAGGCTGGGTGCAGTGGCTCCCGCCTATAATCCCAGCACTATGGGAGGATCGCTTGAGGCCAGGAGTTCAAGACCAGTCTGGGCCCCCAAAAAATTAAAAAAAAAAAAAAAAGGACTAGGCTGGGCTGGCTTTGCAGCTCCCCACCCAGCAGCTGTACAGTGTTACTTCATCTTTCTTTGTATATCATCTCTGCACGGGGAGTAATAATCCTTCCTCATTAGGATTATGAAATGAAATCATCTGTTTATAGTGCCTGACACAGGCATTCAATGAAAGCTAATAAAAATCATCCCACTAGCCAACCCTCACCTGTTAAGGGCAAATGTTAAGAGCTTTCCGTTCATCAGCTCATGTAGTCCTCCCAGCAATCCTGTAGGAAGGCACTGTTGTCACCCCTTTTTTAAGAGGACTCAAGCCAGCTGCTACCTTCAACCTAAGGGCTACCTTCAGTTAAATTCCTCCTGAGTTTCTTAAAGCTGAAGACAGGAGAGAGGGCATGAGGGGTGTCCAGGACCCTACTGACCTTCACAATGACACCCATGGCCTTCTGGTCTTCCCTCTTGCTTTCCCCGAAGGACCTCACGTTGAAGGAGCAGATCCGCAGGGCCAGGGTGCCCTGGACCGAGAGGAGGAGAAGCAGCAGCAGGGCCAGCCTCTGCGACATCCTGCCGCTGCTCTGGCTTCAGGGCTCCGCGAGAGGACAGCTGTGCTTGGTGTGCAGGATCCTGGCCACCTCCGTGGGTAACACTGACTTATAAAGCCTGCATCAGATAACAGGAATTACTGGATTCCTCATTGCTACTTTCAATTCTCTGAGGAACCGAAGATCATGGGTTTAATCCCCAAGGAAATGAAGATTTTAAGCAGCCTTTTAGGAGCCCCTGTTTTTGTCACCCTGGTGAGGAAATTGGCACACCTAATTTAGGCACCATCCTCCGCAAAGCCACTCATATCCCGACGGGGAGCCAGCTCTGACGCCTGGTCATCTCTCCTGCGGTTGCATGCCATGTGCCTTTTCCTGACAGTCGTTGAACTCGGAAGTGGTCCACCCCGAAGGGCACCTGGGGTGAGCGAGCCTTCTGCTGGGGGACAATGAGACAAGAGGCATGGGAAATTCTGCCGGGTTTTCTCTAAATCACCGGGATTTGGCGGCCTGCTGTTCTGGGACACACCCAGGTACTGACTCTAACCATTCTGATGGGTGTAAATTAAGGTCGAGTCTAGTTTGAATTACTTAATTTTTTAGGCAATTTTAATTTGCACAATTTAACACACCAAACACTGGCAGTGTGTTGCTAGGGAGAGTGACTGGGAATTTGCTAGAATGGGTCAGGAAAATGTCCCTGGATTTTAAGAGCAAATAGCCAGTTAAGCCCCTGGAGAGACCCATGATTCAGCCCCAAATTAATGTTGGTGAGAGTTGTGTGACCCTGAGAAAGGAAGGTCTTGCAAGAATTGTAGGATTTTAGTCCAAGTAAAATGACTTTTAGAGATTTGGGCAGGAAGATAAAAAGATCTGAAAAGCAAAAGAAATGCAAAATTCAATCAAGTTATATTTATGAACTTTGGCAAGAACAATTCTTCTGTGAAAACGGTAGGGAAGGAAAATAACTTGAAGCCAGTGCTGGGATCTCCTTAAACACCCCCTCTTGAAGCAATGGGGTTGTAGCTATAGCCACAGGGGAAAGTGTGCATATATCACCAACATACATCCAGTCACCATCCTGGCCAAGCGTGTCAGGAATTCTAAGAGATAACTCCAAATAGTACGTGGAAGGAAATAATGGTTTCCTGTGCTCATGGTGTGATGAATCTCCCTGTTGTCTGCAACCTCAGACCTCAGGCCTGGTTGAATCTCTGGTTAAATGCAGCTCTGGTTAATGGATGGTTAATTGTCTTCCTTGGTGAATGGGCATCTTCCAGTCAGAGAAAGACTTAAAATTAAGTATAGAGATGTTTAAGGGACTCAGAGCTGTGGTACAATATTTTATGTGTGTTTTAAAATTGAATCTATACATATGTGGTATTTTTATAAACTTGTAACATATGAGAGATTTTTGGCCTGTTAAATTGACAGTCTTGTAACTCCAATATAAAATGTTCCGTTGGTGAAGGGTTGGTTTAGATTCGCGACTTTAAGCTGAAGCCTTACTAAGTTTACATACAGTTCTGGAAAATTTATAAGAACTTTGCAAGTTTAATTTATTTGAATTAAAATTA